ATCCAGAAATCCCTTGCTTACGATTATTTGAATTAAACGATACACCCTTGATAAATATCGTTGTTACATTAATGAGAACTAAGATGTCATATCTCAAAAACTAGTTGGGATATCATAATGATATAAGAAGCATTTTAAGGCAAATTTAATCTAGTTTTAGCGTGCAATAAATAATTAATTGGTTTCAATAAATTTGGTTGATATCATTTTTAAATCAAAATCTGTTCGTGTGGTTAGGTATGAAACTTAATAAATCGTATCTCAAAAACCAGTCGGGTTATCTTAACGAGATACAAAGCATCTTAATCCGAAATTAATGTAGTTTTAGTGTGCCATAAATAATTTCTTAATATCCAAAAATCCCTTACTTACGATTATTTGAATTAAACGATACACGCTTGATACATATCGTTGTCACATTAATGAGAATTAAGATGTCATATCTCAAAAACTAGTTGGAATATCATAATGATATAAGAAGCATTTGAAAGTAAATTTAATCTAGTTTTAGCATGCAATAAATAATTTATTGGTTTCAATAAATTTGATTGATATGATTGTTAAATCAAAATCTGTTCGTTTGGTTACTTATAAAACTTAATAAATCGTATCTCAAAAACCAGTCGGGTTATCTTAACGAGATATAAAGCATCTTAATACGAAATTAATGTAATTTTAGTGTGCCATAAATAATTTCTTAATATCCAGAAATCCCTTACTTACGATTATTTGAATTAAACGATACACGCTTGATAAATATCGCTTTTACATTAATGAGAATTAAGATGTCATATCTCAAAAACTAGTTGGAATATCATAATGATATAAGAAGCATTTTAAAGCAAATTTAATCTAGTTTTAGCGTGCAATAAATAATTTATTGATTTCAATAAATTTGGTTGATATTATTTTTAAATCAAAATCTCTTCGTTTGGTTAATTATGAAACTTAATAAATCGTATCTCAAAAACCACTCAAGCTATCTTAACGAGATACAAAGCATCGTAATCCGAAATTAATTTAATATTAGTGTGCCATAAATAATTTCTTAATATCCAAAAATTCCTTACTTACGATTATTTGAATTAAACGATACACGCTTGATAAATATCGTTTTTACGTTAATGAGAATTAAGATGTCATATCTCAAAAACTAATTGGAATATCGTAATGATATAAGAAGCATTTTAAAGCAAATTTAATCTAGTTTTAGCGTGCAATAAATAATTAATTGGTTTCAATGAATTTGGTTGATATCATTTTTAAATCGAAATCTGTTGGTTTGGTTAGTTGTGAAACTTAATAAATCGTATCTCAAAAACTAGTCGGGTTATCTCAACGAGATACAAAGCATCTTAATACGAAATTAATGTAATTTTAGTGTGCCATAAATAATTTCTTAATATCCAAAAATCCCTTACTTACGATTATTTGAATAAAACGATACACCCTTGATAAATATCGTTGTTACATTAATTACAATTAAGATGTCATATCTCAAAAACTAGTTGGAATATCATAATAATATAAGAAGCATTTTAAAGCAAATTTAATCTAGTTTTAGCATGCAATAAATAATTAATTAGTTTCAATGAATTTGGTTGATATCATTTTTAAATCAAAATCTGTTCGTTTGGTTAGTTATGAAACTTAATAAATCGTATCTCAAAAACAAGTCGAGTTATCTTAACGAGATACAAAGCATCTTAATCCGAAATTAATGTAGCATTAGTGTGCCATAAATAATTTCTTAATATCAAAAAATACCTTAATTACGATTATTTGAATTAAACGATACATCCTTGATAAATATCGTTGTTACATTAATGAGAATTAAGAAGTCATATCTCAAAAACTAGTTGGAATATCATAATGATATAAGAAGCATTTTAAGGAAAATTTAATCTAGTTTTAGCATGCAATAAATAATTAATTTGGTTTCAATGAATTTGGTTGATATCATTTTTAAATCAAAATCTGTTCGTTTGGTTAGGTATGAAACTTAATAAATCGTATCTCAAAAACAAGTCGAGTTATCTTAACGAGATACAAAGCATCTTAATCCGAAATTAATGTAGCATTAGTGTGCCATAAATAATTTCTTAATATCAAAAAATACCTTAATTACGATTATTTGAATTAAACGATACATCCTTGATAAATATCGTTGTTACATTAATGAGAATTAAGAAGTCATATCTCAAAAACTAGTTGGAATATCATAATGATATAAGAAGCATTTTAAGGAAAATTTAATCTAGTTTTAGCATGCAATAAATAATTAATTTGGTTTCAATGAATTTGGTTGATATCATTTTTAAATCAAAATCTGTTCGTTTGGTTAGGTATGAAACTTAATAAATCGTATCTCAAAAACCAGTCGGGTTATCTTAACGAGATACAAAGCATCTTAATTCGAAATTAATGTAATTTTAGTGTGCCATAAATAATTTCTTAATATCCAAAAATCCCTTACTTACGATTATTTGAATTAAACGATACACGCTTAATAAATATCGTTGTTACATTAATGAGAATTAAGATGTCATATCTCAAAAACTAGTTGGAATAGCATAATGATATCACAAGCATTTTAAAGCAAATTTAATCTAGTTTTAGCGTGCAATAAATAATTTATTGGTTTCAATAGATTTGAATGATATGATTTTTAAATCAAAATCTGTTCGTTTGGTTAGTTATGAAACTTGATAAATTGTATCTCGAAAACTTGGCGAGTTATCATAACGAGATACAGAGTATCTTAATCCCAAATTGATGTAGTTTTAGTGTACCATAAATAATTTCTTAATATCCAGAAATCCTTTACTTACGATTATTTGAATTAAACGATACACGCTTCATAAATATCGTTGTTACATTAATGAGAATTAAGATGTCATATCTCAAAAACTAGTTGGAATAGCATAATGATATCACAAGCATTTTAAGGCAAATTTAATCTAGTTTTAGCGTGCAATAAATAATTTATTGGTTTCAATAAATTTGGTTGGTATCATTTTTAAATCAAAATCTGTTCGTTTGGTTAGTTATGAAACTTAATAAATCGTATCTCAAAAACCAGTCGGGTTATCTCAACGAGATATAAAGCATCTTAATCCGAAATTAATGTTGTTTTAGTGTGCCATAAATAATTAATTGGTTTCAATAAATTTGGCTGATATGATTTTTAAACCAAAATCCGTTCCTTTGGTTTGCTATGAAACTTAGTAAATCGTATCTCAAAAACCAGTTGGATTATCTTAACGAGATACAAGGCATCCTAATACGAAATTAATGCAGTTTTAGTGTTCCATAAATAATTTCTTAATATCCAGAAATCCCTTACTTACGATTATTTGAATTAAACAATACACGCTTGATAAATATCGTTGTTATATTAACGAGAATTAAGATGTCATATCTCAAAAACTAGTTGTGATATCATAATGATATAAGAAGCATTTTAAAGCAAATTTAATCTAGTTTTAGGCTGCAGTAAATAATTAATTGGTTTCAATAAATTTGGTTGATACGATTTTTAAATCAAAATCCATTCGTTTGGTTAGTTATGAAACTTAATAAATCGTATCTCAAAAACTAGTCGGGTTATCTCAACGAGATACAAAGCATCTTAATCCAAAATTAATGTAGTTTTAGTGTGCCATACATAATTTCTTAATATCCAAAAATCCCTTACTTACGATTATTTGAATTAAACGATACACGCTTGATAAATATCGTTATTACATTAATGAGAATTAAGAAGTCATATCTCAAAAACTAGTTGGAATATCATAATGATATAAGAAGCATTTTAAGGCAAATTTAATCTAGTTTTAGCGTGCAATAAATAATTAATAGGTTTCTATGAATTTGGTTGATATCATTTTTAAATCAAAATCTGTTCGTTTGGTTAAGTATGAAACTTAATAAATCGTATCTTTAAAACCACTCGGATTATCTTAACGAGATACAAAGCATTTTAATCCGAAATTAATGTACCATTAGTGTGCCATAAATAATTTCTTAATATCAAAAAATACCTTAATTACGATTATTTGAATTAAACGATACACGCTTGATAAATATCGTTTTTACATTAATGAGAATTAAGATGTGATATCTCAAAAATTAGTTACGCTATCATAATGCTATATGAAGCATTTTAAAGGAAATTTGATCTAGTTTTAGCCTACAATAAATAATTTATTAATTTCTATAAATCTGGTTAATATCATTTTTTTAAGTTTTTTGGTTTAAAATATGATGTAGGTAAAAGTAAAAACTTTTTGAGAAATACTAAAAATGTTTAATTCAATTCAAGCAGACATGTTACGAAACTAATGTTTCATCTTCAGTATTTAGAATATTATACAATATAATGGAAAATATTATGTTAGTAGGTGGGGTTCAGGAATAGATCTAAATCTCTTTTTAACTTAATTTACAAATAAAAATTAAATTTAACAAAATCAAAAATTAAAAAACTTCAATAATATAGTTAAAATCTTGGAAGGTAACATATATTACATAGATATGTTACCTTCAACTTAAAAGTTTTTACTTTTACCTACATCATATTTTATTATATTAGAGAAATATGGAGAATTTCATCCCATTGTGTTGTTTAAATTGTAACCGTAACGGCATAGTTAAGGTTAAAAAATTATTGTAACAAAGTTTATGGGAAATAAGAAATTAATTAAGACATCTTCATTAATAATAATATAACACCGAGAGTTTATATGATGATTCCTGGCCCCTTTACGATGAAATGTTAACAATTGACGTCGTGCCTGAAAGCGGTTACATGAAATAACTGAAACAGAATCTGTAACACCGATATTTTTTAAAAATAAATTTGTCACCGTTCTATGCAAATAATTCGCTAATCTTCATTAAATTTGCTTTAATATGTTCTTAGTTTCATCATTATATCTCAATTCGTTCTTGAGATATGATTTCTTTAATTTTTTTTTTAATTCTTGTAATTTTTTTAGCCTTATCAAAGAAGAGGTTGGTTATCGGGTTTGTACAGGATACGAGCGTGGTGTGTAGCCTGGTGGCATTCAGGTCGAGAAGATAGTGATACGGAAGAAGAAAGCCCCAGCGAACAGGGACAAGGATGTATAACGCCGATGTCGTTAGATACACCTTTACAAAGCTCCGTTTCAAGGTGCACATCACTAAATGTAATCAGGTAAGAAATACACTGACCAAAAAGAACGCATTATTATTATCACGCACTTTGTTTAAATATCACTATTAAAAAGCACAAAAACTCACTTAAAATAATTTTTTGCACAAATGCATGAAAAATAAGCATGGTTTTGTGAGCACAAGTTTTTTGATGTGCATTGTTGGGTAAAAAAAATAAAAAAAGGGAGAATAGAGGAGAAGGTAAAAGGAAAAAGATGGGAAAATTACATTTTGAAACGATAAGGTGAAGTTTGTTAGGTTGAAATGTCTAGGGTGGTTAGTGCGGTTCGGTTTTAGTATAAAGAGTTGCAGAGGAGGGTAACTTGAAAGCTCCACTTGGGAAAGAGGAGCAGCGCACTGTAGGACCGACAAATTATCCGATTAGTTCGAGTGGTACGCTGAAAGTGCTTCACTGTCTCTTTTCGGTTTAGGACCTCGTTCTAAAGATGATTTAGGTTTATTAAAATAATTTTATATTTTCCCATATAAAGTAAAACCCGGTAAAATAATAACAAAAAAAATTTTATGGTAATAAAACTAAATTGAAATTTTCCATCTCACCAATTTAAAAAACAACAACCCAGTTTTAGACGAACTTTTAACTGTTATTTGGCAACTTAACTCATTACATAAACCCCAATCTAGTTCTTTATGAACCTTTTTGCCGCGGTAATTTATGTGAAATTTAACAAGTTTAGATCCAGGCCAACGTCACATCCGACCTAATTTGAAATCTTTGCGAAATTTCATTTTGAAAATATGTATACTTTCTTAAAACTAGTTTTCTCCGAAATTCGGTTATTAACATATATGTTAAAATACATTATCTTGAAAATGATATTTTATGCTTTAATTTAAGATATAAATCATTTCTTCATTGCTGGAAATAGACCGTGTGGCAAACCGATGTTAGAAATCAAGTTATTTTCCATGTTTCATTACTTTCATTAGTTACCAAAATGTTGTTATTATTATTATTATTATTCTTTGACAACCACAATAAAAACTAATCAATCGATAAATTTTTTATTTTTAATATCAACCAGAATACCAAACTTATTAAGAAAATCTGCGCCAATAATGGGTCTGTTTACGTTTGCAATTGTGAAAATAAAAGGAAAATTTCTTCTTACATTTTTTATTATTTTAAAAATACTGAAAGCATTTTTTCCCCGTAAGTATTGATGGTAGTACCATTAGTGGCTGAAAGATTTGAATTGGTATCCTTTTTATGGTTCGCAAAAAACTTGAATGGTAACATTGAATGATGTGAGCGATGTCAAAGAGTTGACTGAAATGTGAGGTTGATGTTTTGTCAAAATTTTGAATTTTGAAATTTTCTTTTTTTCTATTGAAACTTTATAATTTTTTTGGAGATGAAGAATTATTAAAAGAAATGTATTTGTGTGCATTATCGCGAAATTTGCGATGATACCACCAAATGTCTAGAAAATTTTGGGAATTGCTTTTAGACTTTTGGCGTGAACGTGAAAATGAACGCCCAATGAAGGAAATTAAATCAAATAGATTTAATTTATCCTTTTTACAATTTTATTTTATAGATAAAAGTTTATCGATTGACTAGTTTTTATTGTGGTTGTCAAAGAATAATAATAATAATAACAACATTTCGGTAACTAATGAAAGTAATGAAACATGGAAAATAACTGACTTCATTTCTAACATCGGTTTGCCACATTGGGGAGTAATACTTAAGCAGGAGATTTGTTTCTTCAATCCAGTTAGCAACTCGAAAAGACATGCTAATTCAGGATAGGATTGAGGACGTTAAAGAACAATTATTTTTTCATTCGCCAATATTTCGATTTGTTTATTAAAGCTTCTTCAGGGTTTGAATTTAAATTGATTTGAAAAGGGCGAAAAAATTAATAAAATCAGCTACAACGTACATCTCAAACCATGTGAGAACCGTAAAGGTACTTTTCAACCTTTATGTTTGACATCGATACAATCATTTTCAATAGCAAGTTTTTACTGCAAGCGCGTTTTCTCCTAATTTCGATTATTAACATATAGCTTGCGATGCTTCATTTCAAAGATGAGATTTTGAGCTTTAATCTAGGATGTAAAAGATTTATTCATTCTTAGAGATAAGCCGGAAGTGATTTTTTTTAATTTGACGTTGATAAACAAACATTTTCAATCGAAAAGCTTTTACTTCAACCTCGTTTACTCATAAATTCGATTATCAACATATAACTTGCGATGCACTGTTTTGAAGAGGAGATTTTCAGCTTTAATTTAAGTTGTAAATCATTTCGCAAGTTTTTACTACAAGCTCATTTCCTCCTTATTTTGATTATTAACAATATACCTTGCGATGTATTTTTTTAAAGAAGACATTTTGAGCATTAATTTAAGATATTAGTCATTTCTTCATTGCTAGAGATACACCGCAAGTGATTTTTTTAAAATTGACATCGATTCAAACATTTTCTATCGCAAGTTTTTACTTCAACCTCATTTTCTTATAATTTCGATTATTAACATATAGCTTGCGATGCAATGTTTTGAAGAGGGGATTTTGAGCTTTAATTCAAGATATAAATCATTTCTTCATTGCTAGAAATAGACCGGAAGTGATTTTTTTAAAATTGACATCGATCAAAACGTTTTCTATAGCCAGTTTTTACTTTAAGCTCGTTTTTTACCAATTTCGATCATTAACATATATTTTCCGATACATCGTTTTAAAGAGGAAATTTTGAGCTTTAATTTATGATATAAATCATTGCTTCATTGCTAGAAATAGACCTGAAGTGATATTTTTAATTTGACGTCGATTCACACATTTTCAATCACACGTTTCTACATCAAGCACGTTTTCTCCTAATTTCGATTATTAACATATATCTTGGGATATATCGTTTTAAACAGGAAATTTTGAGCTTTTATTTATGATATAAGTCATTTCTTCATTGTTAAATATAGACCGGAAGTGATTTTTTTAATTTGACATGGATTCAAACATTTTCAATTCCAAGTTTTTACTTCAAGCTCGTTTTCTTTTAATTTCGATTGTTAGCATATAGCTTGCGATGCATTGCTTTGAAGAGGAGATTTTGAGCTTTAATTTAAGATATAAATTATTTCTCCATTGTTAGAAATAGACCGGAAGTGATTTTTTTAAAATTGACATCGATTCAAACATTTTCAATCGCAAGTTTTTACTTCAAACTCGTTTTCTCCTAATTTCGATTATTAACATATATCTTTCGATACATCGTTTTAAAGAGGAAATTTTGAGCTTTAATTTATGATATAAGTCATTTCTTCATTGCTAGATATAGGCCGGAAGTAATTTTTTAAATTTGACATCAATTCAAACATTTTCAATCCCAAGTATCTACTTCAAGCTCGTTTTCTCCTCATTTCGATTATTAACATATATTTTGCGATACATCGTCTTAAAGAGGAGATATTGAGCTTTAATATTTAGACATAATCATTTCTTCATTGCTAAAAGTAGACCGGAAGTGATTTTTTTAATTTGACGTCGATTCAAACATTTTCAATAGCAAGTTTTTACTTCAAGCTCATTTTCTTCTAATTTCGAATATTAACATATATCTTTCGATACATGGTTTTAAAGAAGAAATTTTGAGCTTTAATTTATGATATAAATCACTTCTTCATTGCTGAAAGCAGACCGGAAGTGATTTTTTTAATTTGACGTTGATTCAAACATTTTCAATTGCAAGTTTCTACTTCAAGCCCGTTTTCTCCTAATTTCGATTATTAACATATATCTTGCGATACATCGTTTTAAAGAGGAGATTTTGAGCTTTAATTTAAGATATAAATCGTTTCTTCATTCTTAGAAATAGACCGGAAGTGATTTTTTTGATTGGACATCAATACAAACATTTTTAATCGCAAGTTCTTACTTCAACCCCGTTTTCTCCTAATTTCGATTATTAACATATATCTTGCGATACATCGTTATAAAGAGGAGATTTTGAGCTTTAATTTATGATAAAAATCATTTCTTCATTGCTAGAAATAGACCTGAAGTGATTTTTTTAATATGACGTCGATTCACACATTTTCAATCACACGTTTCTACATCAAGCTCGTTTTCTCCTAATTTCGATTATTAACATATATCTTGCGATACATCGTTTTAAAGAGGAGATTTTGAGCTTTAATTTTTAGATATAATCATTTCTTCATTGCTGAAAGTAGACCGGAAGTGAATTTTTTTAATTTGACGTCGATTCAAACATTTTCAATCGCAAGTTTCTACTTCAAGCCCGTTTTCTCCTAATTTGGATTACTTACATATATCTTGCGATACATCGTTTTAAAGAGGAGATTTTGAGCTTTAATTTAAGATATAAATCGTTTCTCCATTCTTAGAAATAGATCGGAAGTGATTTTTTTGATTGGACATCAACACAAACATTTTTAATCGCAAGTTCTTACTTCAACCCCGTGTTCTCCTAATTTCGATTATTAACATATATCTTGCGATATATCGCTATAAAGAGCAGATTTTGAGCTTTAATTTAAGATATAAATCGTTTCTTCATTCCTAGAAATAGACCGGAAGTGATTTTTTTGATTTGACATCAATACAAACATTTTTAATTGCAAGTTCTTACTTCAACCCCGTTTTCTCCTAATTTCGATTATTAACATATATCTTGCGATACATCGTTTTAAAAAGGAGATTTTGAGCTTTAATTTTTAGATATAATCATTTCTTCATTGCTGAAAGTAGACCGGAAGTGATTTTTTTAATTTGACGTCGATTCAAACATTTTCAATCGCAAGTTTCTACTTCAAGCCCGTTTTCTCCTAATTTCGATTATTAACATATATCTTGCGATACATCGTTTTAAAGAGGAGGTTTTGAGCTTTCATTTAAGATATAAATCATTTCTTCATTGCTAAAAATAGACCGGAAGTGATTTTTTTAATTTGACATCGATTCAAATATTTTCATTCGCAAGTTTCTACTTCAACTCGTTCTCTCCTAATTACGATTATTAGCATATATCTTGCGATACGTCATTTTAAAGAGGAGATTTTGAGCTATCATTTAAGATATAAGTCATTTCTTAATGGTTATTAATCACGAAGTTAAATTAAATATGGAAAATAGTAATGCGAATGATTAGTGTCAGTGTATATCTTACTCGCACTTTTTTAGTTTTATCTCACCAATCTTAATGCACTAAAGGGTTAAGATGATTCTATTTTGTTTTTTTTTTAATTAATTGTTTTTTTAGAGATCCATACGCAACGGGACTTCCCCAACCAAACCAAAGGGATCAAATGATCCACAACCAAGCAAACATAACCCCTACGAGATTAGCGCCGAGAGATACAAGGAGTTTGCCAAACAACGCAAATCGTCTTGGTGCTCGTTCGATATCAAACGATAGCGTTTATACGATTTTAATCAGATTGCCGGATACTTTGGATGGTGCTGGTGATGGACCATCAATCAAAATGATTCCTGAAGATGCAGCGCGATTAACGCAGCAACAATTATCAGCGACCGCAACAACAAAACAAATCGATTCGAATTTAACCGATTTCGGTTCGAACATTCACACGAATCATTTAAATCGAAGACCATCGGCGATGCCTGATATCAGAATACCATTAAACGCGAAAATTATCCCTAAGCAATTGGCGGGGAAAACTTTGTTAGCAAACGCGACGAAAAATCAAGGTAAGAAAAAGAAGAAAACGCAAGAAAAAAAAGCTGACAAGAAAGCTGCGAAAACATTATCGGCGATTTTATTAACGTTTATTATAACTTGGACGCCGTATAATATTTTGGTGCTAATTAAACCAGTTTCTACTTTCGATGAACTTATACCGCAAAAATTGTGGGATTTTTTTTATTATTTATGTTATATTAATTCGACCATAAACCCGTTGTGTTACGCTTTATGTAACGCGAGCTTTCGACGAACTTATTTACGTATTTTAAAGTGTAAATGGCATAACAGGAATAGGGTTGCTATGAATAGAGGGTTTTATAATTAAAAAATAAATTGTTATAACAAGAAGAAACCAACAACTAAAAGAAAGGTGAGTTTTTAATTTATTAATTAATTAATTTAATAAAAAAATATTATTATTAAAGATGAGATTGTACTAGATGTTTTTATATTTATAAATGTACATCGCTCAAAATATAAGAAAAAAAACCGAAGAAAAAATTATTAATGATAATGTAACGATACATTTACATTATTATTACGTATTAATGATTGTAAATGACATAGTGTGTCCTTTTACTACTATCTACAGCGCGCGAGGTGCGTAAATAAATAAGTATACAGCGTGTAATGAAGGTAAATCATGTACTGATTTGTTAAAAAAATGAGATAATAATAAGATAAAAATGAAATAATTAAAACAATGGGAGGAGAATAGGATTTAAAAAAATAAATAACGATTTTTGATGACTTAAAAAGTGTTGTTAATACTTTGAGGGTTTCACACAATATTTTAGATATCTGCATATCATCTGTTAATAACTTGCCAAGTGATTATTCTAGTATAAGGATGTTGATGGAATTTTGCTTTATATCATTTATTTTACACTGTGTTAATTAATTTTATTATCGTACCCGACGTCATCATTACAAGTATGCAACCAAATAAGCAAATCGCGTATTGCAATACCAATACTGTGGTATTGGTTGCATATTTTCAATGATGACGTCGGATACGATAATTAATTAATTAATTATTACGATACGTCGTTTTAAAGAGGAAATTTTGAACTTTAATCTAAAATATAACTCATTTCTTCGTTTCTAGAAATAGACCTGAGAAGTGATTTTTTTAATTTGACATCAATTCAAACATTTTGAATCGCAAGTTTTTACTTCAAGCTCGTTTTCTGCTAAGTTTGATTATTAACATATATCTTGGGATATACCGTTTTAAAGAGGAGATTTTGAGCTCTCATTTAAGATATAAATCGTTTCTTCGTTGCTAGAAATAGACCGGAAGTGATTTTTTTAATTTGACATCGATTCAAACATTTTCAATCGCAAGTTTTTACTTCAAACTCGTTTTCTCCTAATTTCGATTGTTAGCATATAGCTTGCGATGCATTGTTTTGAAGAGGAGATTTTGAGCTTTAATTTAAGATATTAATCATTTATCCATTGTTAGAAATAGACGGGAAGTGATTTTTTTAATTTGACATCAATTCAAACATTTTCAATAGCAAGTTTTTACTTAAGCTCGTTTTCTCCTAATTTCGATTGTTAGCATATAGCTTGCGATGCATTGTTTTGAAGAGGAGATTTTGAGCTTTAATTTAAGATATAAATCATTTATCCATTGTTAGAAATAGACCGGAAGTGATTTTTTTAATTTGACATCAATTCAAACATTTTCAATAGCAAGTTTTTACTTCAAGCTCGTTTTCTCCTAATTTCGATTATTAACATATATCTTGGGATATACCGTTTTAAAGAGGACATTTTGAGCTTTCATTTAAGATATAAATCGTTTCTTCGTTGCTATAAATAGACCGGAAGTGATTTTTTTAAAATTGACATCGATTCAAACATTTTCAATCGCAAGTTTCTACTTCAAGCTCGTTTTCTCATAATTTCGATTATTAGCATACAGCTTGCGATGCATTGCTTCGAAGAGGAGATTTTGAGCTTTAATTTAAGATATAAATCATTTCTCCATTGTTAGAAATAGACCGGAAGTGATTTATTTAATTTGACATCAATTCAAACATTTTTAATCGCAAGTTTTTACATCAACATCGTTTTCTCCTAATTTCGATTATTAACATATATCTTGGGATATATCGTTTTAAAGAGGAGATTTTGAGCTTTCATTTAAGATATAAATAGTTTCTTCGCTGCTAGAAATAGACCGGAAGTGATTTTTTTAAAATTGACATCGATTCAAACATTTTCATTCGCAAGTTTTTACTTTAAACGCGTTTTCTCTTAATTTCGATTATTAACGTATATCTTTCGATACATCGTTTTAAAGAGGAAATTTTGAGGTTTAATTTATGATATAAGTCATTTCTTCATTGCTAGATATAGACCGGAAGTGATTTTTTTAATTTGACATCGATTCAAACATTTTTAATCGCAAGTGTTTACTTTAAGCTCGCTTTCTCCTAATTTCGATTATTAACATATATCTTTCGATACATCGTTTTAAAGAGGAAATTTTGTGCTTTAATTTATGATATAAGTCATTTCTTCATTGCTAGATATAAACCGGACGTGATTTTTTTAATTTGACATCGATTCAAACATTTTTAATCGCAAGTGCTTACTTCAAACTCGCTTTCTCCTAATTTCGATTAACATATATCTTTCGATACATCGTTTTAAAGAGGAAATTTAGAGCTTTAATTTATAATATAAGTCATTTCTTAATTGCTAGATATAGACCGGAAGTGATTTTTTTAATTTGACATCGATTCAAACATTTTTAAACGCAAATTCTTACTTCAAGCTCGTTTTCTCCTAATTTCGATTATTAACATATATCTTGCGATATGTCGTTATAAAGAAGAGATTTTAAGCTTTAATTTAAGATATAAACCATTTCTTCATTGCTAGAAATAGACCGGAAGTGATTTTTTTAATTTGACGTCGATTCAAACATTTGCAATCGCAAGTTTCTACTTTAAGCTCGTTTTCTCCTAATTTCGATTATTAACATATATCTTGCGATATGTCGTTATAAAGAAGAGATTTTAAGCTTTAATTTAAGATATAAATCATTTCTTCATTGCTAGAAATAGACCGGAAGTGATTTTTTTAATTTGACGTCGATTCAAACATTTGCAATCGCAAGTTTCTACTTTAAGCTCGGTTTCTCCTAATTTCGACTATTAACATATATCTTTCGATACATCATTCTAAAGAGGAAAGTTTGAGCATAATTTAAGATACGAGTCATTTCTTCATTGCTAGAAATAGACCGGAAGTGATTTTTTTAATTTGACATCAATTCAAACATTTGCAATCGCAAGTTTCTACTTCAAGCTCGTTCTCTCCTAATTTCGATTATTAACATAAAAAAATAAATAAATATATATTTAAATCGCGTATTGCAATACCAATACTGTGATATTGGTTGCATACTTGCAATATTGACTTCTGATACGATAATTAATTAACTCACTCTGTGTTAAGAAGGGGTTGTAAGGATAGGAGGGATATTCGAGGGTTTAGGACAGCGGTTCCCAAAGTTTTTTTTATCACACCTCCCTACTACCTAAAATCACAATACGACGCCCCTCTTGTAATTTTATAGTAGTTATAATAATATAACTGCAAAAAACATACATATTTCGTAAAACTTTTATTACAAAAGAATAAAATATTGCTTTCACACACATGCGTTAAGAAAGAATGAGATGGATGAGTTTGAATACCTTTAACTGTAAATAGTTCTGCTATGAAGAAAAGCTTCGAGATATTTTACCCAAAATAGTGACATATTCATCTTCTCAAAATCATATTTGGCAGCAGAATCATTTTTAATTTCCAAAACTTGCTCTTGTAGTGTTTCTGGTAGCTTATCTATTTTAAAAAGGATCTGTGGCCAATTTAGAGAGAGATAATGATAACAATACATTTATATATCTATACATACAATATACATTCTTATGCAGTGGTACAATTATCCCCATCTTCCATTTCTCGGGAATCCTTTCTTCCTCCAAGCAGGTTATTATCAATTCATGGAGCCTTCTTACTGTTTCCTTTCTACTAATTTTTAGAAGCTCAATGATGTTATCGTCTCGTTGGCATTATTTTTCATCCTTGCTATAGCTTGTTGCACTTCTTCCACCGTTGAGCCTTCTATCATAACTTGCGTTGTACTCACTCCATTTACATTTATTTCCTCTTCTCCCTGGTGCATGATGTTCAGTAATTCATCGAAATGTTGCTTCCATCTCTCTGTTATCTCTTCTCTATCAATTAGTACTTCACCTTCCTTGCTATTACACATGCTACTTTTGTGTTGATACCCTGTTATTTCCATCTTAATAGTCCTGTAGAAGTTTTCCTCGTTGTGAAGTTTACCTTTTCTCTAATTCTCCTTTTCTTAGACTTGAATTTTCTTGTTGCGACTCCCTTTTATTACGCTATACTCCATTCTACTCGCCCTTGTGTTTCTCTGTATCATTGTCATCCGCGCCTCATTTTTCTCTCTTATTGCACTCTTACACTTTTCATCGTATCATTCCACATTTCTGCAATTAGTACTTGTGGCGATGCATTCGTTTGCTGCCTTTCCGAGTACGGCATCTTTCTTATTGTTAGTTTCAGTTCTAGGAAGGACTTCCTAACATTCCCTCCCTTTATGTCTAAAAGTTGACAACGCCAAAAATTTGTCGCTGTCGCAATTTGTCCCTCTGCGTGATTTGACATCTATTATTGAGGAGGCGTATCGAATATTTATCAACAGATGATCAATCTGGTTTACGCAGTCACCTCCTGGCATAGTCGATGTCTCCTTATTATATGTATGTCTTCCTTTTCGAAATCAGTACTCGAAATTCTAATCATTTTCTAGATACTTATCCTAATTAGCTTTGATTCCTTTGAAATTAAGGAATCGAGTAAGTACTCATTAATTTCTCCTAAACTACTTTGAGCTCAGATCCACCGTCTCAGTATTTTACCATAGCTGTTATATCCCTAAGGATTCGTCCATTTCTTTCATTTGTATTGTTTTGTCTCTAAAAACTGGGAGTTTGCTGGAGTACTTATAGTAAAACATGTCCTAAGTATTCCTTTGAAGATGTTTTGTACCAGAACTTGAAGAGGAAGGTGTACCATTAAATAGGGTTGAGTCGAAATGCTCTAGTTGTTCAGAGCAAGATTGGGTGCACCTCTTTGAAGTGTTGTTCTTATGCCTGCATGTTTTAATAATTTTGTCGAAGACATAATGCAATTATATTTATGTAGTAAATAAAAGAATCATTCCTTTTGCTACGTGATGAATTGTTCTCGATTCGAATTTCAAATTCTTCCAGTATCTGGAATATGGTTTCACCATGATCTGCAGCAAAAATAGAATTAAATTATACAGTGTCTTGTAGAGTCTTCTAATATTTTT